ATACGATCACCCCGAGCTCTTCCCTCCGCTACCGGAAGTACCTGAAACCAAAACTGAAAACCGTAAGCACGAAGCTTAGTGAGTTCCCCACCCTACCACATACCATGCATAACCACATACTGCACATACTGGGCCACGCCCACTATCTTGGGCCTCGCCCCCTACCTCAGGCCTCGCCCGCTACAACGGCCCCGCCGCTCCAGGCCCCGCCTGGCTTCGAGCCCCGCTCGGATACATATATGTTTTACTTAGGCCTCGCCTGTCACAGGGCCTCACCCACCAACAAATAATAACACATAAACATTTCACAACACATAGCTAACACATACAATTGGTTCTGTCCTAAGGCCTCGCCTATCTTGGGCCTCGCCCATGTCCTGCTACTGATGAGTCATGGGACCCCGTCCACGCTCCTAATGATAGTGAGGTATGGGCCTAGCCCACTCTTACTCCTGTTCTAGTTTGGGCCTCGCCCCTATTCTGCTACTAATGAGATATGGAACCCCATCCACACTCTGCTATTCGTGAGATACGGGACCTCGCCCACACCCACCTCCCTACTAGGCACATACATGTATCACACAGACAATAAGTATAAACTATCATATAAACAATTCCTTGGGCACCCTCCCGCTATTACTGGACCTCGTCCTAAATATAATACTAACATACTGTGCCTAGGGCTAACCCCCGGGTCTTCTACTCATAACTACATGGGCCGGCATTGTGGCCTTAGACCCATTCACACAAAGGGAAACTCACCTGCACGGGCTGAACTTGCTGATGATCTCACTAGTTGCTGCCCGACAACTCACGGAAAATCCTGCTCCCCTTGCTCCCCGAACTACCAATATCAATGCAACACTGAGTCTAACTGACCCTCGAAAGACAACCAAGTCCACCCTGGTCCAAGTTAAAGTCCTGGTCAAGGTCAACCTTCCAGGTCAACCCTACTTGCCGAGTCACCCTACTGACTCGCCGAGTTCATAATGTTCAGATTCCTTCCATTCGCGACTCGACTCGGCGAGTCAGTCCATGACTCGCCGAGTCTACTGATTTCTGAGTCCAGACCTGTCCAACTCACTGAATCTCCACCCGACTCACTGATTCGAGTCTCAACTCGAAGGGTTTGGGGTTTCGCGACCTGACTCGCCGAGTCCAAGAACAGACTCGCCGAGTACAAGGCAATCTTCATACGACTCAACAAGTTGTTCATCCCACTCGTCGAGTTTCTCCACAACTTCATGCTACTCGCCGAGTCCACTCAAAGGACTCGCCGAGTCCCTTCATATCTCCTTACATGCAGAGTACATTTGAGTCATGCATGAACTCCAAACTGTAGATCCACCCTTCCCAAGCCTTTTCCCCACGTATAGTTGCAAACTTTACGTGTAGAGAAGGAGATCTAGGCAAAATATGCTATAAACTAGGGCTTAAGGCAAAAAGGCTCCATGATCCACTCAAGGGCTGATACTTTACGGAATTCTAGACCAAAATAAGCATGGATCTGAGGTAGCAACCTCAGATCTGAACCTCTAGCTCAAAGGTTACTCTTAAGCCAAGAATGCCCAAAACACACACAAAGATCTAGGTGCAAATGAGGGGAGATAGCAGCTTGTTACCTCCAAGATGAACACCACTGAAGTAGATCTCGGATCTACACCTCCTCCTTGAAGCAACCTACTTGCCCTTTAAGATCCTTTCCCCAAAGTTCCTTCCTCCAAGCTTTAACTCTCAAAATGATGGAAGCTCTCACGAAATCAAGGGTGCACTGGCTCTCTAGGGTGATATGGGGGCTGAGGGAGGGACATAACACCCTTTAAATAGGATACAACTCTCGGGATTAGGGTTTTCCTCGTTCAGACTAGACTCGCCGAGTCACCTTGGCCGACTCGCCGAGTCGGTCGCTTACTCCTCGACCCGGATCCCGCTCGGACTCGCCAAGTCCCTCCTTGGACTCGCCGAGTCTACCCTTAAATTAGGGCTTTTCTTTCCTTTCATGGCCTTTGAAACTTTGGGTGTTAGATTAGCTCAATGTACAGAAAAATGCAATCTATTTAAAGGCTAAAAATATGAAAATAAACAACAACTAACTCCACTAGGCTTGAGACTCGGTACTATAGCCTACATGGCTTTTACTCATTCAACTTTGCAAACAAAATATACATTTGATTAATAACATAATAAACTAAATAAACTTATGACTTCTGAATTATTTCATCATTTTCCCATTTAATTTAGAAATCAAACCTTTTTACACCAACAAGATCTCACATTTCTTCAAACTTCACTTTTCCAAGTGGTTTTGTCAAGATATCCTCCTTCTGATCCTTGCTCCATACATGTGTTACTGTAATTTCTCCATTTTCTACACATTCACGAATAAAATGAAATCGGATATCTATATGTTTGCTTCTTCCATGAAAAACTTGATTTTTCATCAAATCCAGTGAGGACTTGTGCTCCACCATCATCTCAATTGGAGGTACCATTTGAACAACTATTTCACTTAACTATCTTCTTAACCAGATTCCTTGATAGGATGCTAGAGTAGCTGCCATAAATTCTGCTTAACATGTTGAGAGTGCCACACATCTCTGCTTCTGTGATGCCCATGTGATCAAATTATTATTCACATAATACGCAATTCCACCTGTACTTCGTCTATCATTGATGTCATTTGCCAAATCATTGTCAGTATACCCATAAAGGGTTACACTTTCTTTCTATTTTGAGTATTTTAAACCAAAGTCTAAAGTACCATTCATGTATCTGAGAATACACTTCACAGCTTGGAGGTGTTAACCCTTGGCTTCTCCATGAAAAAACTCAGAATACCTACTGCGAAAGAGATATCTGGGTGAGTATGAGTTAGGTACCTTAGGGCTCTAACTATGCTTCGATACTCCGTGGGGTTCACCAGTTCTCCTCCTTCATTCTTTCGCAGCTTGAGTTTGTGTTCCATAGGGGTTCTGGTGGGATTACAGTATTTCATCTGAGTCTTGGCAAGAAGATTCTTGGTGTATGCTTCTTGTTTCTGAGTAATTACTCCTTCATGCTGGTTGACTTCAATTCCGAAATAATATGTTAAGAGCCCGAGATCGCTCATTTCAAATTTGGTGCTCATATCTCATTTGAACACCTGCGCATCTTTTGAGCAGCTTCATGTTACTAGAAGATCATCCACATATACACCCACAATTAAGGTGTTCCCTTTCTCCTTCTTCGTGTACACCGAATACTCATGAGCACATCTTTTAAATCCAAGACTCTTCAAATGTCGATCCAAACAGGCGTTCCATGCTCTAGGGGCTTTCTTAAGATTGTATAGAGCTTTAGACAGTTTGAACACTTTGTGGGTCTCGCCTTTCTTCTGGAAACCCTCAGGTTGAGAGACATGGAACTCTTCTTCTAAGTTGCCATTTGAAAACGCCGATTTGACATCTAAGTGATGCACCTTCTACCTGTTTGATCCAGCTAAAGCCAAAATAAGTCGGAATATCTCGATTCTCGCCACCGGTGCCAAAACCTCTTCGAAATCGACTCCATGTCTCTGTATATACCCCTTTGCTATGATTTGTGCCTTGTACTTCACAATTTTTCCATTTGGGTCTTTTTTCAGCTTAAACTCCAACTTTAATACGATAGGCTTTCAATTATTTAGGAGATCAACCAGTTTCCATGTGTTGTTCTTCTCAATTGAAGCCAATTCTTCGTTCATCGCATGTACCCATTCGATTTTCTTGCTCGCTTCTTTGTATGTTGTCTGCTCTTCATTGCTGCACATCCATAGGAGTTCCTCTGGGGGTAGATAAATTTTTTCGGTATTTTCATACAAATCAGTGAGCAATCAGTATCGCTTTGGGGCTTCATCGTCAGTTGAGCTATCGTCGGTGCTCGGTGACTTGCCTGTGATGGGTGAAACTGGTGTACCAGGAATCACAAGTATACCTGTAACATTCGGGTCGGTTGGTGGGATAATGGGTTGACCTACTTCAGCCCAATCTTCATTTTGTTGAATTGACCCAATTTAGTCGGGTGTATCAGGGACCCATTGTCCATCTCCATCCCATTCATCATCTTCTTCATAGAATCCATCGTTAATATCAACGCCTTCGACTGTGAAGCTCAGTCCCGGTGTTGATTTGATCTTAGCGCTTTTACTCCAATCCCAACCTCTTTTCTCTTCAAACACAACGTTACGAATTACATACATTTTCCCGTTGTTTGGATCCAATAATTTGTATGCCTTTGACCCTTTTTCGACTACAAGATGACCCAGTCTAATGCTTCTATCTTGAGTATTGCAATGAAACAGTAACAAAAAAACAGAGCAAGGTGCTTAAAGGTTAGAGCTTTTATTCAGAGGATTAAAAGGAGGGGTGAATACCTCAACGTACAGAAAAATGCAATCTATTTAAAGGCTAAAAATATGCAAATAACCAACTAACTCCACTACGCTTGAGACTCGGTATATAGCCCACATGATTTTTACTTATTCAACTCTGCAAAGTGAACATGCATTTGATTGATAACATAATAAACTAAATAAACATATGACTTCTGAATTATTTCAATCACTTTCGTCCAAGTTAATAACCATGTAAGATATTTGTTCAGATTAAACAAAAACCATAATGAATGATGACATAACCAATATTTGATAGAATTCGTGTATAAATCACCGTGGGTAAATTTTCTTATTTATAGTTGATTTTTTTTAATCTAAATTGTGTTACAAAAACCTTATTAACGTCCTTTAGTCATAAATAAGCAAAACTGTGATCACAGTTTTGACAAAACTATGATAAAATTTATTATCGTACTTGTGGGACTGTTTTTTAAGTTAGTCTAATAATTAGCCTAAAAAAGATATATCCCTTACTTAGATATTGAAAAATCAAATATCCTTTTATACATATTTTTTCTATTAATCTTTGTATTTGTCAAGACAAATGTCAAAATCAAATGAACAAATTGAAAGAGAATTAGTGGAGCATGTCATTGTTATATAGGAGCAGGAGCATAATTAGAAACAAAAAGTCTAAAAATATTTATTTTTTCTTAGATATTTTTATCTAGGTCAAGAAAGCCGCATGCATGTACTATACTACAATATCAGTGGGCATGCATATTAATATTACATGTCTAGTTGATCTTTAAAAGCTTGAAGAAAATAGATGACTTGTAGATTTTCTAGAATGAAGTGATGCTAGCTAGCCTTCCCAGATATGCTTCGTGGGGATAAGGCAAAGTGGTAATTTTTTAGTGATAAGTAGGGAACCCTCCTCTACCATGTCCAAATCTTCGTTCTTCACTCCGCCAGGGATTTTCCAATCATACCAATACAACAAGTTTGCTATTATGAACTCTATGGTCGCTGGAGCTGTCTTTATCGCTGGACAAGTTCTTCTCCCCCCTCCGAAGGGAACCATATCATAATTTCCCCCTCTGAATTCCACCTGATCAAGATTCTCAAACCTTTCAGGATAGAACTCAGCCGCATTCTTCCCCCATGTGCTCGGATCTCTTCCTATAGCCCACCCATTAATTATAACCATCGTCTCAGGAAGCACGTCATAACCACCAACTTGACAATGGCTTAAGCTTTCGTGTGGGAGCAACAATGCGGCTGGAGGATGCAATCTTAGTGTCTCTTTCACCACCATCTTCAAGTATGTCATTTTTGAGACATCCGTTTCATCTATCTTTTGTTTTCTCCCTGCGCAATTTCGGATTTCACTTTGAACCTTTTGCATCACTCTTGGACTTCTAATGATCTCCGACATTGCCCAAACTGTTGTCGTAAACGTTGTATCAATTCCTCCAAGAAATATGTCCTGAAAGGTTATTTTACATTAGTTATATATATAAAGAATTGCACTCTATAATAATATTAAAAATATGACATGTACCACAATAAGAGATTTGATTTCTCCTATAGTCAACCGATCATCACCCGAAGCATTCTCCGTTGAAGATAACTCAAGCAATGTATGAAGAAAATCCTTGTCTTCATCGTAAACTTGTCCAATATGATTGTGATGTTCATCAATATACGTCTGGATGTAGGCATCAAGATTGCTAAAAAGTTTTTCTAGCTTATGATTCCTTCCACTAATTTGGTCAAATATTGGACCAAACCATGGGAAAAAATCACCTAAGAATGGATTCATTAATTCCATGACCTCATCAAGCATCACTTCCAATGAAGGACCCTTCAGTGGTTGTTCTCTGTAGCTCGAACCAAACGCCACCTTACAAATCAATGCCTTGACTAATGCCAGAAACAACTCATTTAAATTTATCGCACTGTTTGATGGATGTAATGATACAGATCGAAGCATGATCTCCACCTCTGTTAACAACACATGGTTAGATACTCTAGCTCTCTTAGGACCCATGAATTCAGATACCAAAACCTTGCGCATCTTCTTAGAGTGATTGCTGTGAGGCGAGAAGGCAGCGTCTACATAGTTGTATGTTAGTCGCTTGGTGGTCTTGGATATTGGACGCGAACAAAGAATGTGATCTTGATCTTTAAAGACTTGTTTGGCCATGGTAGAAGAAGAGATTATAAGGCAAGATTTTGAACCAATATTGAGTAGCATAATTGGGCCATATTCTTGGGAAAGTTTCCAAAAGGCTAGATGACGAGGTTGGCCTAGTAGTTGATGCATGTTCCCAATTATTGGAAGCTTTGGAGGGTTTGGTGGAAGCTTAAGGGCAACCATCGACGAACTATTAGATTTAAGAGTATAGAGAAAGATGCAGAAGAGGACAAGTATAGTTGTGAGAAGCCATGAAGGGAAGATGGAAAAGATCTCCATGTGACTAGTAGTTGTGAGCTGGTTTGATTTCCGTATTCCAAGCTTATGTACGTTCATTTATAGTGAGGCTTCCGGATTGGATATATAACTTACCTACGATGAACATAATAGTGCGTCCTATTACATCCCGGTTAGTAGATATATACTTATTCTGTAATTTGTTAATATTTTTTTACAAAATATTCACCCCTAAATATTTATTTTATTTTAGTTTTAATGTCCTTATCAAATCAAAAATTGTTTACGGTAACAAATGGAGTTGTATGCATAAATGAACCTCTAGGTGAAGAGTCGACAATATTATTTAACGGTCGAAAATATGACGTGTACTAACATTTGATTTTCCTGTGAATTGATTTGTGGACTACGATTCATCAAGCCCCAATTTCTATCTACAAAGACCCACATGATTTAATGTATATTGAATAAATTAATTGTTAGGATATTTATATGCGTTATTGCAATGAAAATATCAATGAAAATATCAGATTCTTGAACATGTGTTCTAAAAGTATACATAAAAAAAACATTGAGTTTTTAACCAAATAGGTGTTTTAAAAAAACTTATTTATCTAATTGGTATAATTTTAAACTTATTTACTAAAATAGGGTTATTTAGCACTTTTTTAAAAAATGTGCCATGTTTCTTTTATTTCTTTCAACCAAAAAAAGCCAATATTCATAACACACAAAAATCGTAGTTATTGTTTGTGTTTTTTTTAATATAAATTTTTTGTTTTTGTTTTGATTTTTTTTTTTTTTGTTTTGATTTTTTTTGCTTCAAATATTTATTAATTTTTTTTACAATTTGATCAACATTTCGTGATGCATCTTTTGGCACCAAAATATACAATAACTTAGAAAACAATAAATATTTCCCTGCAATAATACCCTCCAATACCTCCTTTATATTTATGCAAAAAAAGTTCTTTCTTTAAAAAAGGAATACAAACCCAAAATAAAATTGAATACATAGTTATTTTATTCTTATTTTTTAAGCAATCATATTAAATACATAGTTATAATTGGAAAAAGAATGTTGATCTACATCCTAATAGGAGCATCACACATCTAAAAGAAGCAAAATTATAAGTGAAAGAAGCATAACAAACTCCAAAATGAGCAGCAACTAATAATCAAAAGTTGCAGCAAACCAAAGGTAGAAACAACAGCAAAAAAGTCCAACAAATTGGAAGAAGGCTTTAAAACATAATACAAAAAACAAAAAGGATCAGACCATTACATACTTGATACAATGTTTACTTTCACACTTTTTTTTTGCTAATTAAAGGCTTTATATAAATTTACTTATTTACTAAATTACATAAAAATTCTTTATGATTGTTGTTCAAAATAAGGTCACGATGAGCATGAATACCATATAAGCATCAGGAAACAACCATAAATGCTGACACAATCTACCGATGTCAAAAAAAAGTGTAAATCAAATAACCAATAACTTTCTTTAACACGACATTTGTTGGCTAGATGTTTGTTAATGACACTCAACAAATGTAATCATAAATATAAAGGAATATGTTTCCTTGCAACAACAAAACAAGAGGTAGAGGCAAGGGTAAAAACGTTTATCAAATAAGGATTAAGGTGGAGGAATGACGGGATCAATTGCAAACATTTGTGAATTGTGATGATGAGTGACATGCTTGCAAGTCCTAATCTTCTTAGAGCAAGTCTTCCGCAATCTTGAGTAACAACCATCCCAAACATCAATTTTGTATTAGAGAGCAATTACAATGTTGATATAGCTATGTACATATAAACTAATACAATTTTCATGTTTTCTTAAATTTATCGACACCTCTGCTGCATTCGAAGCAAAAAAAATCAATCCCAATTTCATTCGATTCTCAGAAATCAGTAAACATAATTAAAAAACCAGAACTCTCAGAATTCTAACATAGGCAATCTAATCTAAGAAAACTTCTACACCAAAATTATTGGGTTATTGATGAGTTCCACTAGGATCCATTCTATAGATATTGCAGTTATATCTGTTGCAGCCGTGAAAAAATCCTATCCAAAAGATAAAGGCATAATGACAAGAGGTTTTGTTTTTTAATTAGACATAAAACAAATATATATATATATATATATATATATATATATATATATATATATATATATATATATATATATATATATATATATCAAGTGAATCTTATTCAACATAATAAATAGGTTGGAACCTTGGATTATTGATTGTATAGAAATAGACCATTGACCCATGGATTAAAAGTCAAGAATCAAGATTTAAATAAATTGATATATCAAGAAAATCTTTCCCTTTGTCATTTTCTCGTTTCCCTTCCCTTATTCTCTTTTCCTCCCTTTCAAATATGATTTTCTCCAACAAAGCATCACACCTTTGTGTGTATCCTCATATCTCTTGTTAGACCCTTGCAAATCTATGTTATAGGACCATAAGTAATCGGAAACATTAAACTTTCTGAAGATCGTTGTCACTTCTCGAACAAGATTCTTGGCTTCGTCGGCCTCATTGTTCATCCCAAAACATCAAATGCTCATCATCATTTGTCATATCATGTTGTTTGTTAGCTTCAAGAACTCTTCAGTCAAATTCACAACCTCTTTCGTTTCGATTTCTACAGTAACCTTCGAAGAAGCCCGTGTATTTCATGTCATATAATATGAAATATTAAAAAATATTAATGTTTATGTATTCAAAGATCTCTTTATTATAATTAATTAATCGTTAAACCTCATTCAGATTTCTTTAAACATCCAACTATTCAATTATTTTGCCCTCCTCCTCATCTTCCATAACTACGCTCACCACCTGCTATATCTTCTTTCTCAATATCTCCACCACCACCACCACCGTCTCTCCTTATTTCTCCGCCACCGGCAACTTCACTGCTACCCTTATCTCATTGCTTGATACCGTCACATTCATCCTCTGCTTCGTGTATAGCGGCCACACAATCATCGAAACACCATGTTTAATGCTCGCCAATGTAGAGTTCCACCTACAATGACACAAATATGCGACGATAGATGGGTGACGTTTGTTGCCCAGGAACTCACGATTGTTGTACTTGCTTAATTTGTCCTCTCAACCTACCCATTTGGCAAGCATGCTCTAGGATCGTCTGAATTGACCCGACAGTAAAAAAAACAGCAAAAACGGAGTCACTTGAAGTTCGCATCACCATAATGAAAACGTTGCCGACTCAGTTCTAAACCTTAAGTCAACTCAGACATGAATCTTTGGTTTGCATAACTTATTTCGCTTTGGTATACCCATCCGAAGCCGATTTAATCCATTGGTGAGTGGTGTTATGGGATAAATGTGGGAATGTGGCTGAAGAATTTGTTTCCTTTTTCACTTGCAAAATGAATTCCTTCTGGTTTTTGCAGGGTGATTTTCCCTTTAAGAGCAGATTAAAGTGAAAGTGACGAAAGAGGAGGACGAGATGCTTGTGTGGTGTATGGTGTATTCCTGGAAACGTCGTTTCTCTTTTGGTATAATGGTTTTACTAAAAATATGCTTGTGAATAATCAATTAAAATCTAAATAGATCAGGGACATAATTGTCATTTTCTTTGAAAATTTAGTGGATATATCAAAAACATCCATGGAATTATAGCCTCCCAATTAAAAAACTTCACTAGTTTTTCATACCAACCACAATATTATTATTAATATTGTGTATCTTCCGATTGTTAGCGTCTCACTTTAATAAAATATCTTTGTAAAGTATATTTTAAATGCTTTCGATGGCTCCAGCATAAACCCATCCAAGATTGACCCCAATCGTTTCTATTTGGCAAAAGTACGAAAAAGATTTATATCTATTACAGGTGAACTATCAAAAAAAGCCAGTGAAATTAACGATAATGATATTGAAATTATTAGAGTAACAAATAACACATTCAAAAGATACCGAGTTAGATAGAATAGAGTCTCACACGCAAAACTGCGAATTCGGATGAATATTTTTGAAATACAAATAACATTTTGAAATGGATAACCGAAATGGTAGAATGTTTCAATAAAAATGTTAAAATGGTGGAATTTTGAATAAAAATGTAACAACAAATAAAACATGTGATGTTATTTTTGAACAAAAATATTAAAATAGTAGAATTTTGAACTCATAAAACCGAGAAGATTTCCGAAATATGATCGTTCGGACAATGCTAGAAAACGACTTACAAAAATTAAATAAATTTACCAAAATCAAAGTATGATGCAAAGACATGAAAAAGTGTAACGTATTTTCAAGTATTTAATTCAAACGAGTTACACATTCAAATTACATAGAGTTTAAGGCGGAATCAAAAGTAGAATTAAGTCGAAAATATTAATTAACGAATGCAATGAAACTGAAATTAACGGACACATATCGGAGGGGGAATTCTGAATACCATCTTGAGAGCCATAGCTATCGTGGATGAATCTTCTTGAGAGGTTGCTGAGGTAGTGGAAGAGAGAAGTGTGTGAAAAAGTAGATTTTGGGAGAAAGTTGGAAAATGTGTGATGTCCAATTTGTTCGTTCATGGAGATTATATACTTGTATTGTCACTAAAGTGCCCTGATGTTGAAGTAAATTACCGTTTATGCCACAAAATGGAATGACACTCGTGAGTGGTTGGGGTGACCGCGATGCGGTTCGTTGCGGTTATTAGCCAAAACTTTACCACTAACTACAAATGTGGTTAATTCATTTTCAAAACCGTTTGGTGCGGTTATTTTTACGGTGCGGTTAGACGGTTAATTTTGCAGTGCGATTTTTTTTTTTTTTTTTTTTTTTTTTTGGTGTTGCGGTTATTAACCAAACGGATTTTGTACGATTATTTTTGCAGTGCGGTTAGACGGTTAATTTTGCGGTGCGGTTTTTTTTTTTTTTTTTGTGTTGGGGTTATTAATCACATGGATTTGGTGTGATTATTTTTGTGGTTTTTAACCACAGTTTAGAACTCAAACAGTTTTAAGAGTTCAAACATATTACTTTTATTGACAAAAAAAAAAAAACATAAGCTATAAGATAATTAACTTAAATCACAAACAACTAATATCTTAAAAACGTCAAATCAATAATAATTAACAATAAATATCTTAAAATTGTTTAGTTTAACCATTTTTCAAAGTTAAACATAACAAAAAAAACCAACACTTTTGTTTTCTACTATTTTATCTATTTTTCATCCATGAAACTTATCTTATTTTTAATATTTAATATAGTAATAAATAATAATAATAAATTGTATGTAATATATGCGGTACGGTGCCGTTTTTTTGGGGTTTTTGAAAACTGATAACTGCATTGCACCACAAATTGACGGTTTTTGGAAAACTGAAAACCTCACCATCGGTTTTTATTGTGATTGCGGTTTATGCGTTTTTGCAATTAATTTTAGTTGTGGTACGGTTTTTGCTCCCCCTGTGGTGACTTGTGAGCAAATGCTTAATTTGACATGAATGTTTTTAAATAAATAATATCACATATGTAATAGCGGAAATATGTTAATTTTATGGTGCACATATATTATATGTTCGAAAAGTTTATTTATTAAACATGTTTTTGCACAAATCTTAAGCGAAAAGTTTATTTATTAAACATGTTTTTGCACAAATCTTAAGAGAGATCACTAAATATGCAAGTTTTAAAAATGTTTTCATATATGAAACAGTTGTATCGTTTATAATTTTGGTGATGGTTATCTTCTACCTTATCTTATGCATATCAACTTGTAAAATCGTTTTGTTGTCGAGTAGATTATTTGACCTTTTTTCATTCAAATCCGTATGATTTCAAGGTTGTTTCTTTATGACTTGGTTTAGAAAAGAATTTGGTTTTTTCTTATAATTAGCATTTTATCCAGCATTGTGGGGATGTCAATACCTTTTGTAAATTGAATTTTAACAATTGTATTTATAAAATTTAAATACTATTGCATTCATTGATTGATAAATAATTGAACATAGAAGGTCGATACCATTGACAAAACTATTGATGGATGTGGAATATATGAAAGTTTAGAAAGTCAAGATAATGAAAAAAATTATAATAATAATAATAGAGATTAAATTTGCCGATGTAAGAACCAAAAAAGAAAAATAAAAGTTCATGGGGACTAAACTTGCCAAATAAAGCATAATGACCAAAAAAATCACGGGAACAAAACTCTGGCAAAGTAAGGAAAAAAAAACCAAACTTATCAAAGAAACCCACATAAGGATTGAAATTGTCAAGTAAGGACCAAAAAGGAAAAAAAGGAAAAAAAATTTACAAAGGACTAAATTTGTCAAGTTAAAGACCAAAATAATTATAAAGACTACACCTAAAAAAAATAAGAAAAAAAAATTCATAAAGACTAAACTTATCAAAGAAATGCAGTTATGAAATCGGCATGCAAGGGAAAAAAAACTGTTGTTGACAAATAAAGTAGACACCGACGTTGCCAAATAAAGTTAGGACTATTACATGGATCAAATATCACAAAAAATCAAATATAAATAGTTCATGAGAATTTCAATTTCATGTATATCAAGTTTTTATATACAGAATTAACAGACAATAAAATGACCTTTTGGAAGACTAGAATATACACAAAACTTTTATTAGCATGTTGTTTTAATATGGTTTGTATATTGATATGGAGTTGTATCCTTAATGTTGGATTAGTAAATAAATGTATTTTTTGGACCGTATTTATGTAAATTATGACCTCAAGCCATTAAAATCTTCTGAAATCATAGTATATAAAAGCATAAAGAACTAGGTGTCACAAGTTGATATTATACTCATAGTTTAATTAATTCAGGCATGGACTATCTAACACGGAGGCTTAAGCTATGAAATTTGTTATTTCGAAATTTTCAAAAGACCCATAGAAATACCATAACAACTGACTCATGTATTGAAGTTATGTCATCGATGGGTGGCATTCTTCAATAGTCCCTTTATGTTGTATAAGTCGGGTTTCCACCAATTTGTTAGATCTCTGCATACCTCTATTGTTATGGAGTAGATGATCAATATATATTCCTTGTTACATAGGATTGTCTTGTAGTTTTTACATAAAGAAGATGAAATTATGTATCCTAACCCTAGTTTATTGTTAATTTCAAAAATTATAGATGCCTCCTAGGGTTTTTTGTTTTCTGCTGAATACTTGTATGTCCAATAGTGAAAACATAGTTCTTACAAATTAGGGTTTTATGCACATATATGGATTGTTTCTTATGTTCAAAGCCCATCAACTATACCAAACATTGCAAGCTTTCCAATATGTGAAGTTTCTGGTGGAAAATTCTTCAACCATGTACATGGATCCATATACATACCCACATTTGAAGTTGATAGTAGATTTGATTACAAAATGAGTTCCAACACCTGATTCCAATGTGGCTTCCAGTTTAATGTTAGGTTAGGTTCGCAGGAAAAAACTTAGTAGCTATAAGTTTTCTTTGATACATATTGTGGTAAATGTGCAATAACTCCCGTCATCCCATTTTTGTTTAGTTATTGATGAGCTTCATCTCAATAGATTAATAAGTTGACATACTTATAGTGAAATCAATATAGTAATGCTTAATTTATGTGTTGTCACAAATTGATCTCAAATGTCAGTATGGTACATACTTGGTCCCAAAAACATTGATAAAAGGAATAGGTCATACACATCCAAATTATACAATGCACACTATAATATAATAATACATTAATTACCATTAATAAAGTATAAAACCAACAATATCAAATAATTTGCGGTGAGTCTTCTCTTAATGATGGAACACAAATAAAATCCACCGCCCTTGGGGCAGTTAATCCAGCCCTTTCATTTGTATTCAATGCTTCCTTGCCATTATTGACATTCCACTCAAAGCATTGTATGAGGGCGGCAACCACCACCGGAAGTTCTCTCATGGCCAAATTAATTCCTGGACAACCTCTTCTTCCCGTTCCAAAAGGCAAGAGTTGAAAACTCTGTCCCTTGATATCTAACGAGCTTTTTAGGGTTTCACCTTCCAAAAACCGATGAGGGTTGAAATCTAATGGATTTTCCCAGTACTTGGAGTTTCTTCCGATCGACCAAATGTTGACGAATAACATGGTTCCGGCTGGGATTTCATATCCTTGGACAATGACATCTGTTATTGATTTGCGAATCAACATCGGAATTGGTGGATGAAGTCTTAGGGTTTCCTTTATGATGGCTTGGATGTATGGTAAGTTAGGTGCATCTGATTCCTGAACTAACCTCTTATTTCCGATGACTTGATCAATCTCTGTTCTTGCTTTTTCAAGCACATGTGGGTTATTGATGAGTTCCACTAAGGTCCATTCTATAGATATTGCAGTTGTATCTGTTGCAGCTGTGAAAAAATCCTATACAAAAGATAAAGGCATAATGACAAGATGTTTTGTTTTTTAACTAGACATAAAAAATTATCAAGTGAATCTCATTGAACATAATAAATTGGCTAGAACCTTGGATTATTGATTGTATACGAAAAGACCATTGACCCTTGGAATAAGAATCAAGTATCAAGATTTAGATAAATTTACCAAAATCAGGGCTTTGATGTGATCTCTTGTAATCTTAATCTCTGCTTTTCCTTCCTCCAAAACATCAAGCAACATATCAAGAAAATCTTTCCCTTTGTTATCTTCTCCTTTCCCTTCCCTTCTTCTCTTTTCCTCCCTTTCGGATATGATTTTCTCCAACAAAGCATCATACCTTCTATGTGTATCCTCATACCTCTTCTTAAACCCTTGCAAATCTATGTTCTTACAAAACCATATGAAATCGGAAACATTAAACTCTCCGAAGATCGTTGTCACTTCTCGAACAAGATTCTTGGCTTCATCCGCCTCATTGTTCGTCCCAGAACATCGAATGCTCATCATCATTTGGCATATCACGTTGTTTGTTAGCTTCAAGAACTCTTCAGTCAAATTAACAACCTCTTTTCGTTTCGATTTCTCCATTATTGTTCGAAGAAGCTCGTGGATTTCATGGGTTCGAATGGGGAGGAAATGACTGAGATTTTGGTTGCCTAAAAGCTCGACTGTTGACAGTTTCTTGACGAATTTCCAGTAAGGTCCATAAGGTGCGAAGGCGAAGGCAACACCATAAGTAATATGGTCGATGGCTAATGAATGTTTTCGTGAAGAGAAGGCGAGTTCGTTAGTTTTGAGAAAGTCTCTTGCGAGGTCCGGTGTGGAGGCGACGACGCAGGGGACAGATCCGAGACGGAGGTGAATTAGTGGGCCGTAGCGCGTGGAGAGGCGGTGGAAAGACTGGTGGATGAGTGGGCCGAGGTGGTGGAGGTGGCCTATGATCGGTAACGACGGAGGGCTCGGCGGAAGACGGTTGTTATGTTTTCTCTTTGATAGTAGATAAAAGAAGAGCGACGACAAGACTATGGCGGCGATGATCGCCGGAGAAAGACTTTGGAACATTACGAACATATTCATTGTCTAGAAGATGGGTAGCACCTACCCTATCTCAAAAAAAAAAAAAAAATTGTCATCTATTAATAAAGAAAGAAAAATAAAAATGTCATATAAACTAGAAATTACATTATATCGTATAATATGAAATATTATAAAATATTAATGTTTATCTATCGAAAATCTCTTTATTACGTTCCTTTTTATATAAAATAAAAATAGCGGCTACAATTAAAAAGACAGTTACTAGTTTTTCATACCAACCACGCTACTATTATTAACATTGTCCATCTTCCCATTGTTAATGTCTCAATTTAATAAAATTTCTTATAAAAAAATAATTTTTAAATGCTTTTGATGGCTCCAGCATAAACCCTTCCAAGATTGACCATCATCGTTTCTATTTGGCAAAAATACAGAAAGATCTATATCTATTACAGGTAAATTATCAAAAAAAGCCGGTGAAATTAGCGATAATGACATTGAAATTATTAGAGTAACAATAATACATTAAAAAAAAATACTGAGTTAGATAGAATAGTCTCACTCGCAAAACTGCGAATTACGCTGAATATTTTTGAATTACAAATAACATTTTGAAATGGATACAATTTAGCAAAGTATCTTTTTATATTAACCTAACAAAATATATAACAACAAATAAAACATGTGATGATATTTTTGAAAAAAAAAATGTTAAATAAATAAAGTATGATGCTAACACATGAAAAAGTGTGACGTAGATGAAAAAAAATATCATACTAAACATTTTGTTCATACATATATATATATATATATATATATATATATATATATATATATATATATATATATATCGTAGGGGGAATACTGAATACCATCTTGAAAGCCATAGCGATGGTGGATGAACCTTTTTGTGAGGTTGCTGAGGAAGCTGAAGAGACGAGTGTGTGAAAAAGTATGTCGGGTGTCCAATTTTGTTCGTTTATGGAGATTATATACATGTACTGTCACTAAAATGCCCCTGATGTTGATCTAAATTACAGTATATGCCACACAATGTATTGACACTGTTGATTGGTGAGCAAATGCTTAATTTGACATCAATGTTTTTGAATCAATAATGTCACATATGTAATAGCGGATATATGTTAATTTTATGGTCCAAATATATTAAATGTTCGAAAACTTTATTTATTAAACATGTTTTTGCACAAATCTTAAGCAAAGGTCACAATATATAAAAGTTTTAAAAATGTTTTCATATATGAAACTGTTATATCGTTTATAATTTTGGTGATGGTTATCTTCTAGCTTATCTTATGCATATCGAGTTGTTAAACCATTGTTATGTCAAATAGATTATTTGAACATTTTTCATTCAAATTCCGTATGATTTCAAGATTGTTTCTTTATGATTTGGTTTTGAAAAGAATTTAGTTTTTTTCCTTATAACTAGCATTTTATCCATAGTTGTAAATTGAATTTTGACGATTATATTTATAAAATTTAGATACTATTGCATTCGTTGATTGATAAATAATTAACATATAATGTCGATACCACTGACAAAACTATTGATCGGTGTAGAGTGATAGTTTAGAAAGTCGGGAGAATGAAAATAATAATAATAATAATAATAATAATAGAGATTTAATGTGCGAATGTAAGAAAAATAAAGAAAAATAAAAGTTCGGACTGAACTTGCAAAATAAAGCATAATGACCAAAAAGAAACATGGGGACAAAACTCGTCAAGGTAAGAAAAAAAAAACAAAAACTCATACGGACCAAACTTGTAAAAGAACCCCACATAGGGATTGAAATTGTCAAGTAAGGACAAAAAGAAAAATAAATTACAATGGACTAAATTTGTCAAGTTAAAGACCAAAAGCAATTACAAAGGACTACACTTGTAAAGTTAAAGACAAAAAAAAAAAAAAAAAAAAAAAAAAAAAAAAAAAAAAAAAAAAATTGTCAAATAAAGCAGACACCGACTCACCGACGTTGCCAAATAAAGTTAGGACAATTACATGGATATTGATCCGAATTTTTTGGATATAGTGGTTATTTTGTTAAATGTAACAAATATATATTATTTACTCGTATTTTGTGAGGATCTTTTATATAAAAATATATTAAACTGTTATCAAATATGATAAAAAAATCAAATATAAGTAATTATGAAATAAAAATATAAAAACGTTAAAAAGAAAACAAAAGGTCTTGTCAACCATATGACTTGGTGGATAAACTCTCGTCCACTCCTTCCACCTACCACCTTTATCAAATATGATAAAAAAAAAAAAAAAAAAAAAAAATCAAATATAAGTAACTATGAAAAAAACATATGAAAATATTAAAAAAAAGTATTAAGTATTGCCAACCATATCACTATGTGATCAACTCTCGTCCATTCCTTTAACCTACCACCATTATAGTTTATGTTCTTTTTCTCTTCCTTTTATTAACTGATTAATGTATCACATTTCATTGGCCATATGGTTGGAAACTAATGGTTTATCTAAAATGATTTTGAATTTGTTAATAATTAGCAAATTAGATGTGGCTTTGTTTCCACTTTTTCGGTCATTCTAGATGCTATATACTGTTTTCAAATATTGGATTTTATTTTATTTTATGCATCAGTTTTCATTAGTTTATGTTTTTCCAAACAACCGAATTTTATATATAAACAAACAATTGGTTTACTAGCCGAGCTAACGAATCTATATTTTGTTTTTATATCGACTAGTTTACCCATGAAAAATAAATACACACAATAGAATAAAACAATGAATCTCGTTTGTGTTGCATCTCCTTACAAATGACTTCATTATGGATTTCTACCTAATCCGAAAAGTAGCTAACATCGTAATTCTTAAACATTTGTGATCTATCTTTTTAATCCGAAAAGTAACTAACATGTAATTCTTAAACATTTGTGATCTATCTTTTTTTACTTTTTTTTTTTGAAGGATATAATCTATATAGATAGTTATAAATGAATCATTTCATTTCAAACTCTCATTATTTTTTAATTTATTTATAGTAATGATTATAAGTTGGTTAATAAGATTAAATAAATATATAATTTAAAGTGTAATCATATATAAACTAAATTTCAATATTAAAATAATATCTTTATTTTTACTTATAAAGTTATATCTTTAACTTTTAACATATTATACTTAATATATTAGATCTAAAATGTTGTTGTATGTAAACCATTATCATTTTAAAGCTACAACTTTTTAACAGTTTTGATAAAATACTTAAATCGTTAGTTTAAACATAAAATTTATAGGATCAACTTAAGTATAAATTTTAGTTCAACTTAAACAACCTAAAAAGTATTTTGTAAATAGTTAAAAGTGATAAATCAATTTCCACATGTTTGGTTCTTTGGTGTTGAACTGTGTTAGTAGCACGTGAGATAGGACATTATAACTCGAGAAGTAGATTACGAAGCCACAAATCTTCAATAACTACATTAGCACCCTACCCCCCCCCCCCCGACACACTCACACACACACATATACTGGTACTTGACTTCGGCTCTAGAGCGAGAGATGACGTACGAGCGTTTGGAAGACTAGGAGACGAGGTTTTCACTGATATAAACACAGAATCCAAATGTGGACCGACGTATGATGTAACACCTGACCCAGTTATCATCAGAGTAATATACCAACTGATCAACAACTAACATATGAATATGTAAACAATGTAAGAAAAGTGCCTTTAAGATATCGAAAGATATGATAGAGAGCATGAACATGTGGAAGACAAGGATTATGCAAGAAGAGGCATACATGTTGAACCACATAGGCAATATTTGGTCATGTAAAAGTCATATAATGAAGAATGCCAGAAAGGCTACGATAAAGAGTACAATCGAGTGATACTTCTCCATAAAATACAAGCTTGGATTTAGTGTTAGATAGGGTGCTAAGGAGTTACACGTGGACATATCGGCATATGCAAGAATCCCTTGAGTGAAAGCATTTTGAGAAAGAAATAATCCAGAGGAGTTATGGGAGGTAAAGATACCGAGGAAGAATGAGAGAGGACCAAGGTCAGACATATGGAATTATAATCAAGATGTAAGATGACCTTGGTTATAAGGAAGGAAGAAGAGGAAATGAGAATAATGTCTTCGACATACAGAAGAAGGTAGATGGTATCAATACCGCAATGATAAGTAAAGGAGGAAACATATTTACTACTAGGAAACCATGAGAAGAAATAAAAAGTTAATCAGCGATACCCAACTCTAGGAGCCTATTTAAGGCTATAAAGAGCTTTTTGTATGCGACACACATCATTGGGGTACTGAGAGTTAACGTATCCTGTAGGTTGACACATGTAGATTTTTTCACGAAGATCACCATGTAAAGAAGCATTTTTGACATCCAACTGGTAAATGAGAAATTTTTGAGAGAAAAAGATGCTAAGAACAGTCCTAATTGTAGCAGGTTTAACAAATCTGAAGGTGTAATCAAAGTCAAGTCTTGGTTGTTGTGCAAAACCCTAAGCCATAAGGCACCCTTTGTAGCGATCAAGATGACCATTGCTATCAAATTTATGACGATACAACCATCGAAAGCATGTAGTTTTTATGGAGGGTGGTTTGGGAAAGATATCTCAAGTGTGATTAGAAAGAAAACTTAACATCTCAGCATCCATAGTAGAACTCCAATTACATCACCTAAGTGCTAGATCGAGGAAAAGGGGAAACATTAGAAATAACAGTTAGGTTGAATAATGTTTTTGGTTTAAGAGATCTCATATTCGACCTATGTTGGATTAAGGTGTTTAAACTTATAACTAAATGGTATAAACTTGAAAATAGTAGCAAAATCCTTTTGGTCTACCCTCATAACCAGAAACAACTAGAAATGAAATTAGGAGAGAGAGAGAGAGAGAGAGAGAGAGAGAGAGAAATTCTTTATTAATATATTATCTGATTAATTTATTAATTGCGAATAGATAATTGATATGTTATTTTGTTATGTAATTAATAAATTAACATGAGATCAATAGTTAAATAATTGACTTGTTAATTTATATGATTAATAAATTAATAAGAAATCAATTAGAATTAATTAATTAATAATCAGAATTAATCTGGAATTAATTTATGATTAATTGGAATTAGTTAAAGATGCAAGGGATTTTAGATGCACTTCTAGGGTTTCTGGAAGCCTGTTGGTTACATAAAAGGAAGGGATTTGAATTAGGATTAAATCTATTATTTAATCAATTCAGATTCTACTTTGCTTGCAAGTTACTTCAACTATAAATAGGACCCAAAGGCCATCAATTTTCGTTCATGACCTTCCTAAGAAGCATATGAACACAATTTATTCCTTTTTCCTCTTCATTCTAGGGTTTTGGGTGTGAGCTATTAGAGATATTAGATTTTTGGTGCTTGCTTACCAAGGTTTTAGAGAAGGATATTGTTGTGATTATTTGCTACAATAATCAAGTGGTATGTAAACCCTAGCTCCATGTAAATTTTGATTATTATCGATTTCCCTTAGGGTTCTTGATGTTTATAGGTTATTGTTACCAATAGAGAAAACTTAGATCCAAACAGGTTGCATGGGAACTTAAGGATTAAGTTTTTCCGCCACATGTTTTAATTATAACCTATGAAACCTATCGGTGATATTCGAACCATAGTTTTATATTTGATTGTGCATAATAGTGAATAGGTCAAAATTATGGTTTATTAAAATTAAACCCTAATGGTCATGATTTTCGATTTTGCTAGGGTTTGTTGAGGCCCTAGCCTCCCTAACCATATTTTCAAAAATAGTGGAGCTCCTTAGTGTTTTATCTTGTTTCCTTAGTTACTGTTTTAGTAGCCTTAAAATAGAATAATTAAAATTGGGAAAAACCCGCACCCTATTTTCGAAAATTAGATGGATTTGGAATAGGATTAAATTAGAATTATTT